ATCTCTTTGTCCTTTTCATTTTCCTCTGGTCCTGCCATCAGGAAGAGGTCCTGATGCTCCAAAAACAGGAGCCTCGGCTTCCTTGCTCTTCCCTGGAGTCTTCCCTCCTCCGAGAGCCTCACCACTAAAGCCTGCTTTCTGCTCCCTCTTCCCAGAGAAGTTTCCTACCTTAGCTCCTAGCACGGCAGTTAGACAAAATGGGTTTCCTCTATCCATTTATTGACTTTTTAAGTATTACTTCACTGCTCCCCGGCAAGAAAGGGTGCAGCAAAAGGCACTCCTAAAACATACTGGTAACTCCTGCTGTCAGACTGTAATCTCTAACACCCACAGCTCTGGGAAATAATCTCTTTTTTTAAAAAAAAAATAAAAACAATAGAATTAATTATAGAGAGGAGATAGGATTTGGTTTCGATCAAAAAACCAGAACAGTTAAAAATTCAGCTGGAAAATTTTCCACTAAATTGCACTAGAATGGTGCCTCCTTGGTTTGGCAGAGCAAAATATTAGGAAAATGGGGATTGCTCAGATTTTAAAACCAGCAGTGGTGGGACTGCAGGCAGGTTTGCTCAAACTGGCCACAAAACAAGCTCTACAAAGTCTGTAACTGCTGGGAGACTGCTGCAGGCCCTTCAGGGGAGGTTCGGGTTGGATATGAGGAAGAATTTCTTACTGAAAGGGATGTCAGGCACTGGCGCAGGCTGCCCAGGGAGGAGGTTGAGTCACCGTCCCTGGAGGTGTTTAAGACGGGTGGGTGTTGTGCCAAGGGACATGGGTTAGCAGCGTTGTTAGGGCGAGGACAAAGGTTGGACTCGATGATCTCGAAGGTCTCTTCCAACCCAAACTGTTCTATGATTCTACGATTCAGAGAGATCGGCTCCTCTGCGATGCAGCCAGCATGGAGAAACACAAATCGCTAAACTCTCCTACGACCTGTAATAACCCATTTCTGAAGGACGGGATGTGGGAGAAGCCTGGAACTAGCTTAAAGACAAAACCCTCAACAAATCAAGTCACCCAACCAAAGACAACCCTCCTAGATGATAAACACCGCGAAGCTAACGCCCGCTCACCTGCATCTGAAACCAGTCCTTTCGTGGTGCTGTCACTGGGCTTGCTGAACTCAGCTACTATTATTTCTACTCTGCAATCCAGAAGCAGGTCATTAGGTTAAAATAAATAAATAAAAAAACCCCAACCACTTGCAAAAGTTTGAGGGGCTGCTTTTTACTTATTTTCTTTTAAGCAGGCAGCCTTATCAAAACACTGTTCTTAATCGGTCGTGAGTTTTTTCAATACTCAAAAATGAGAAGAGCCTAAAGTATGACAACCCTCTCAATTCAGATTTTCACCTTTCTAATGCTGCATGTGCAGAATATAGGTCGTATCACCTTTGTGCAGATTCCCTGAAAATAGTAATAAATAAATTGCCCATCCCTTTCTGGCAGTCACTCACAGACCAGACCACCAGGCTTCAGCAAGACGACAAAAAGTGGAGAAGAAAGCTTTGTAATCCTCGGCGTTCACAGACGAATTCGCTTCGTTTGAGTTGATCCTGACACACTTGAGTACATTCAAGCAAATTAAGAGAAAAACAACCCCAGCCAATAATAAAAGAAAAATCAACAGAACAACCTCACAAGTGACAAAACTTACTCTTCAGGGACGTTTCTTTCAAGAGAGTCTCGTTGACCCAAGCGTGGCCAGCTGGTCCTCTAAGGAATCAGGGCAAGCTGCAGCTCTCCAGAAGGACACCTCCAAGTGACGCTTGAGATGGGACGACCATCCTGAACCTGCCGTACAAACAACTCGTAGCTCCGAAGGAGCTTTTTTTTTGAACTCCACGAGAAGTTCTACAGCATTTTCTTTCTTTTAGTGCTGATGCAGAGGCTGCTAAACCCATCCTACTCCCTGCTTTGCAGGTCTCCACAGAAGTTGTTTGGATTTTTATTTGCATTACTACTATTTGTATTCTTTGGCACCATGACTATTTCTCATACAAAGACATCAACAGCGATGATTCCAGCTCGCAGAAAATAAACAAGCCCCAACATATGTTCTAAAAAAGACATCAGACGAGAGGAAGAGAGGTACGGTGAGGAGGGGAAACGCCTAGCCTGAAGCCACCACGCAGGGTAGGAATGTCACCCAGTTGTGAAGAAGGTCCAAACCCAGGAGGGTCCCAAGTTGCTGGTCAGACAAGTTCAGGGCAGCTACAGAGAAACTGCGGCAAACGAAAGCATCGCGATGCCGCAACAGAGCGAGTATGACTTCTTTGGCTGGATCACACCGTCGTTAGGGAGAGGTTATGGGGGTTTTTGGTTGGTTTTAGTCTTTTCACTATAAGAGGGAAGGAGGGAGGGTTAGAAAGTGAGGAAAGAAGGTTGTAAGCTCCACCAGAAAACTTCCTGGATTAATATTTCCAGTCTCCTACGAAAAACGGCCTTCATAGGTGACGCAAGGTGTGCGTGGCTGATGGAAATGAATATCTCAGCCTCCACTGCATTGGAAAATCTGTTGTTTGAATGTGATGCTACATGGTATATTTTGGGGTTTTCTTTTTTGGATGGCATCAGCGCAGCCCTGACCAGTACAACTATGCCATCAACAGTGAACAAACCCACCGGTGCATGGTAGAAGTATCTGATCCTCCTCCTGTAGTTTTTGCCCTCAAAAGTGCCTGGATGTCAGGAGCATCATGCCGTCTGCAGAAAAATAATGAGACTTCCCCCCGCCACCTATCTGTACTACATTTCTGGGTGGGCCCTGAAAACAGCTGCAAAAAAACTCTTTTTTGGAGAAGAAAGGATTTTGCTCTTGACCTGTGGTTGTGTCATCCCTAAGTTATCACTGCGGTGATATGTTTAGTACAGCCAGTCAATATGAAATAAGTTACTAAGTCTTATTATCAGAACTCACGTTGAAGTTCAGTTGGCCAAAAGTATCTCAACAGTCAATGGAAAGGCACAGGCAGCTGGAAGAGGCCTTTTGTCACGTTCTGCAACAGGGAGTGTGGATCACCCTCTCAACATAATCATCATTTCCATTTACTGAAGATGGTGTCCAGGCAACTACTTCAGCATATTTTAAAATAGCTGAAATGGAAGGGGATGGATATCACGTCCTTAAAGAGCTCTCTCGTCCTGCAGAGCTGCACCTTTGCTCCATAAAATTCACCGACTTCCCTTTCAGCGTGCTGCCTGACCTACCTGCTGTCTGTTAAGATTCACACCACCGGCTTCTGTCTGACTTCCCACCTGAGCGCAGCCAAACCGCCCAAACACATTTATACCCAAGGGCTGAAGATGTGGAGATGAGAGTCTTCCACTGGAGATGAGAGTCTTCCACTCACCTTGTCCACGCACGGCAAGCAAGACACAAACTGACACGAGTATTAGCCATTGCTGATTTTAAGTGCCCACCAGTGCTGCCTGTGAGCGTAATCCTTGGTGATCCAGAAAAAGATCTATTTTAATTCCGTCTTTTGTGGAAGCCAAGGATGACCATCTGTGCTCCACATATCGCTGCTTTAGGTTCTTACGGAGCAGCCTTACCCTTCGCTTAAATCCCGGCATCCCTTGTCATCGGAGAGGCAGATGCGGTACAAAAAGCGCTCAGCGTGTGGCCAGCGCTTGATGTGACCGTACGACACATCAGCAAGCCAAAGGTTTTGTGTATTGTAACACTAGCACACGATAGGGAAGATTTACCAAATCTATGTAAGCAGCTCCTGGGTTATTTAACAACCACTACAAAAGTAACCCTGAACAGACAACGAAACTGAATAAAAGCAGCCTCCCTGTGCGTCACTTTAGTTCAAGGAAAAGCCTTGCTCAAACTTTTTCCTAGCTTGCGCAGAACTTCTTTTCATTTCCTTGTTACCTGCCTTACTGGTTTCCCCTCCAGCCCCTCTATGTGAGAAATCTCTGCAGTTCATTATCCTGGCCCATGAACTGCTCATCTTTGATTATATATATAAAAAAAATACTCAGGGACCCTTAAACGAAGTAAAAAGTTACAGCATTAAAAAAATAACGTTGACGTCATAGCTTCCACCATGGCTATATCCTCACTGGAAGAGGAAAAAGACCGAAAAAAGATTAAGTTCATTAACACGATTAGTTCTTTAAAAAAACCCCAAAACGTTGTCTGATGGGGAGTGTTAAAGGCTTTCCTGCCTCTCAGCAATCCCAGCTCTCGAGGAGAGGCAGCAGGTCCCCAAGCCCGGACTCTTCAGAACAGCGCGCGGCACAACGATCAGAGGAGAAGGTGGGTTTCGTCCATAAACAATTTATTTTATTTCAAATATGTGCCCTTGTTGATTCGACAATGACGTCTGGAGAATCATGTCCTCCACCCAACCAAAGAGAGAACCGATTTGGAAATCTTCTACCTGACTTATTCGCTGACGATACCTTGACACCGCCTCCCTCCTCCTCCTCCTCCTCGGCAGCTGAAAGTATGGCTCAGAGTGAGCATAAACTCGCACCTTATTCTGAAATGGCTAAAAATACAGTGAACAAAGGATTAGTAAATCAACCGTTCGGGGAGGCAGAGGGCTATGAATATACAGACAAATATAAAACATCGGGATTTTTAGCAATTTGCTTTTTTTCCTGCAAGTAAGTTTAGAAACCACTCTGACTTTAGAGTCTTGCTGTTCCCTCCTTCCCCAACAGAAATAAACAATTCCAAAAATGCTTGATGTTTGGGGTGACCGAGGCTGGACAAAGCATGAGCTTCACATGGATGAGGTGCTGATTTTCTCGCCTTGCTATTCGGTACGGGCGTGTGCTTTGTGTTCCCATCGACTTAGATCACAAGCCATGAAGCAAGTTCTTTTGGACGCTGATGCCAATCTGAGCATTAAGGAAAAAAAAACTAACAGTGCCTGGGGTCCCGGTACAGGTGGTCACGGACTCACGGAAGGCCCTTGTTTTAATATTTACACGGATGTTTTAAAATTATGGAATATTTTTTTTTCTAAAGATGCTTCTATATTTGATAAAAAAAAAAAAGAACCCTTGATCCAAATCCCATCTCTTTTTAAAAGTCTCGTTAAAAATTTTGCTTCATCGATTTATCTTAGCACACTTAAAAGCAGAGAATAATGACATTTTAAAAAAAAAACCAACAAAACAAAACCCAAAGAGGAAGATGTTGATCTCTAAGGAGACCGTCGCTCTTTTTTCATAAGTAAGTGACACTGGATGGTGCGGATTCGGTTCTTTGCTGGGGCAAACTCCGGCTGAAGTTTTAGCGTTGACTCATACCATTTCATCGCCTTTTCAAACTCTTCCTGTAAAGAAAGAAAGGAAGAAAGATTGCCGAGAGTCAGATTCTAAGCACCAATAAACACATTTTTTTATTGCCTTTCCTGTCCGAAATAGCAGGTAGGCGCAAAAGTAGCTGAACCAATCCTGGCACTTTAGGATTTTTTTTCTTCTTCCCTCTCCCAACTAACTCAGATATTTTCTTGGGCTAATGACCCAATTTTGTGTATTCTGTGGAAGGGAGTCAAATCATTGCTGAGCATTGCTGACCAAGGGTCTCGCCTTTTCCTTTTAAGAGGAGACCTTGGCATTCTTGCTGTAAAAGTAACTTATAAAATCAGATTTCGGTCAGAATTTACACGGAGCAAAGCTTTAAAATCCTGGATGGCGCAAAAACATCGACTTTGCTGGAAAGCTCACATTTTTCAGAAACGACTTGAAATTATTTTTTAAAACATTATGCGAAGTAAAAAAGAAAAAAAAAAGCCCACAATGAACGAACACGACTTTTAAGAGCCTACAGCAGCTGGACAATTTCAGTTGGACTCCAGAACGGTGGTAAGAAGCATTCATGCTGAAATAACACTTATTTTTACACAGCTGAAACCTAATTTCCTATGCCGCTCTGCTTTTATATTAACTAGGAAAGCACGCCAGCATCCAATAGCATATTAGAAAAGAAAACAAGAAGGAAAAGGACTCAAAACATTCTGGGTTTTTCAGGTACTTCCAACACTGCTTTTGCTCTCTGAAGCTCCTTTCCTCAGTAACTCTGTTTGTCCAGTAAAGTAAATATTAATTCCTAGCCACCTTATAAAGACTAACTGTATCAATGGGAGTTGTGAAGTCTTGATTTTTTAAAATTTTTTTAAGAAAAAGAGTATTTTAATGCAGTTTCAACAGGAATTACATAGAAAATCCTGTATTAGTTCATGGGAGCCCTGACAAACAACAACGAAATGACCATTTTTTAGGTGTAATGATTCATATTTGCTGTCATCCGATATCATTCTGATGCTCCTTTAGATCTCCCGCACCAATAATTTCTGCAGCATTCATCCAAAGTTCTCGGTCCTTAACGTGGCCAAATATTGCCCTTTCTAGGGCAACTTCCTGAGAAGTTTTGCAAATAAAGGAATTTCCCCGATCCCCTCAGCTGCAAAACACGCAGGACAAAGCTATGAGAAGCGCTGAAAACGTTCAGTCGAAAACCCTTTTGACACGGACACGCCTATCGACTGCATCATGGTTTAACGGTGCCTCTTCTACCCTTTGAACGCGCTGGGCGTGTTAAAGATCAGGATGAATCACAAGAACCACCAGGAAGGCGAAAGGAATGAAGTTTTTGTGTTCAGAGTTAAACTGAGGATGAGAATACACAAAGGTACGAAGAAATTGGGAGTTCAGCCTGCGAGTTATTTTTGGGTGTTGGTAACGCGGACGCTGAAATTCAGCTCCCTCGTGTTTGCCCATCGCAGCTGTGAACTGGGTTTTACTTATCACGCTCAACTCAGCTCTTGAGGATAGGGACCGAATTTATCGTTAATTTTGCAGCATTATAAAAATATCCCGTGTTTAGATGGGCAGTCAACCAAAGCAATCAACTGTTTGCTACTGTCTTAACAAAGCTTTGCCGACAGCGTCCTGAAGCCAGCTTGTAAAAATGTGGCCCTTCAAGTTTTAAATGAATAATCGGAATAAAAATAGTCTTAGCACGTGGAAAAAAAAAAAATTCTTGTTGATTCTAGGCCAATTTCTTGAATGTTGCTCCTCCAAGACTATTTGTGAGAGTGTATATATATATATTTATATATTTATATGCACGCAGACTGTACCTAAGGGGAGACATAAGGGGGTGCCAGCACACTCACCATTGCTACGTAGACATTTGCCAGCGTGAAATGATTGACCACGAAGTGCGGAGCGATTTCCACTGCCATGGTTGCCACGATGATGGCGTCGTTCCAGAGTTTCGCGTTGTGGAAGATGTTTGCCAGGCTGATGAGCGGCACATCCTGCAAGAGAAGGGCGAGTGACAGTGAGTGTCTAAAGCCTGACCTGTTCTACGACAACAGGGCATTTGGATCCACAATCCCAACTTTCTCCTGCACACACATCTGCTCCGGATAGCGACAAACGCTACCATTGCATGGACAAGCAACTAAAATTGAGCTCACTTCATTATCCTAGTAGGTACCTTTATTTTTCAGATGCTCCTGCACTAGTTTTCTCCTCAAAGACAAAGGGCATTCTTGGTGACAGGAAAAGCCTCAGGTCTTGCGTGAAAGGGGAAGGAACACGACTAGAAGGGACAGCAGGGAAGGGTCTAACCATGAGTGCAAGCGCCTCGCTGGTTTTCATCCTGCCCCTGCCGCAGAATTCCGGCATAAGGCTGAGTAACCGCTCTAAATAAAATTCTCTCGGCTAGCCACTGATGGTATGCTTTTTATTTCCTGGGTTTCCAGGCTGTGTGACCTTGCCTGACTGGCAAAACTGTTGAGCCCTGACAGGCAGAAGAGACTCCCTGAGAGCTGGGCTTCATACCTTCAAAGGAAAAATATTGCTTAGCAGCAAGCCTTAGGTGCCCTCAACAGGACAATAAAAAATTGTGGATGTATTTGATCCCTGCCTCCTTGACCTCCACAAGGCAAGGAGTACCTCTGGTGGGTAAGCCAGTCCTGTTCGTGAAGCAGATATTACAGAAGGCAGGATAGCACAGAAGAAGCCTACAGGAAAATTAATTACCTTTTATTTAAGCAGGAAAAGGCAAGAGCAAGTAGTGAGAATGCATAAAAGCGATGAGGAAGACAAAACACAAAATTAAAGAGCTGTTCTCTGAGTGCTAGCTCTCCCCGAGTCCAGTTGCAGCTGTACTTTTACACGCTAGACCCACAGTTTTCTCTGGAGGCAGCTTCAGTACGGAGGATAAAAACCAAGGCAGAAACTTGGAGAGTCCGCAAGCGAGGTTACTTCACACATCTAGAAACCAGCAAATCGTAGTTTCTGACCCTTACAGGGTCACACAGTTAAGAGTGCCCTTTCTGAGGAACCATTCCCACACTGAAAGAGAGGAAAATCAGGAGCTTGTTGTGTCAGATCTTGGTTCCAACCTTATTTTAAAAGGACAAGTGCAAAGACAAAGAATTCCAGCGGACACAGACAGATAGGACACGCATTTCTGAGCCGAGGCATTTCTGCTGTTAACGGCTAAATCTTCCCAATAACATCCCAAAGTCATCTCTGGATTTTTGAAAAAGGATTTAAGGGCAAGGTTCCAAAAGGAGGACGCATTTTGCAGCGTGGCACAGCTTGTTGCTCAGACCCCAAAGTGAACTCTACAACGTCGAGTGAAGAGCCTGCGGTGCGTTTATGGGTTTGGAAGGGGGAGGCTGGTGCGTAAAAAACAGACATTCCAACACCACGTGGCAAGGGGAGGGGTACGAAGCACTTTGGTCAACTGAAACACTAACCGGAAGGTTACGCCTTGGTTTTGGAGTAAAGCTGCTGCACAAAGTCAGGCCCTAGCGTCCAGCCGGGGTTCGCAGCCCACACATCAGATTTAAGCATTTAAGTTCTTCGTTTGGGTATCATCTCCGTCCCTCTTTAAAAGCACAATCAGAAGACATGTTCCCCACGTCTTAGGTTGGAAGATTTGTCCAGACAAAAGCTGAAGATCATTCAAAGTCACAGAATATTTTATGAAGATCTACAGACTATTCCACTCTATCATTCTATGCCTTTGAATCGGGGCAAAGTTCAAGCCCGTGTTGCCTAGAGAGGTGTCAAACTCCCTGAACGGCAGGAAACTCCACTGAACCTCTTTCAAAGCAGTTTTTTTTTTTTTTTAATTACAATTTTTTTACAAGAGACAACTCACACTAAACAGGTGGTGAAACTTTTTGAGGTTTTACTAGCAAATATCCAATACTAGCAAATACCCAATACGTTACAGACGCTTGATACACACCATGTTGGACTTAGTAACACCCGGTGAAAGCTCTGTTGTGCCAACCAAAACGCGATTTCATCTGAGCACACGCCTACACACCTTCATGTGATGGGGGGCGTAGTGCAACGCTTGCCGTAGGCAATCGATCGCCTTCTTCCCTTGGCCTTTCACCCTCCAGTAAAGAGCTGCCATGCTAGAGAGGACCCACGACGTCTGATTCTGGCAAAAAGAATGACACAAAGAACCAGTCATGTGAACACACCTGTGGCCACCAGCCTGCCTGTCTTTCACTGCTCCAGTGTATTTGATATCTTGACTTAGAGGGTGTTACACTTAAAAACAGCATCAAACTCTTTCAAAGCAGCAAAAAGTTTCTCATCTAGCAGCACATATGCAGCAGCTGGGTGAATGAGGTCACCAAATGAAACAAAAATTCCAATTTCTCGTGAGAGGAATAGCGGTGAAACAGCTTTAGACAGTAAGCAACAGTTTCAGCAGCCACAACAGCTGCTAAGCAGCTGCATGATGCCGAGCATCGAGATGTGCACACACATCACCCAACCTAAAGCGAATAAATGAGCTAAGTGGGACCTGCGGGCTCTCTGTAGCCACTAGAAAGAGGAAGGACGCTCTGGGATGCAGCTCAGAGCAGAAGCCCGACAAGCGCAGCTGATGAAGTTCGGTGCCTCTAGCTGGCTGGCTCCCACGTCACGTGTTCGAAAGGAAAATACTATGTGCTTGAATTCTGGGGACTCAGATACAGTAAATGAATGTTTACGCTCACATATGCAATTAGATAAGTAGCCATCTTGATTTGTTTGATTAGCACTTGTGCATACTGAATGAGACTGGTAGACACAAGAACTGCATTTTTTTTCCGACGCTGCTAGCCTTACTGAGAATTGTTTCTCCTCTTGACGCTACATTTTCAGCTTATTTGGAAAAAAGCTCAGCTGCCGGCCATACCTCTGCCTGGAGCCACCTGGCACTTCAGGCCCAACACTGCCTGAGGCAAAAAAGGAGAGCAGGCTCTGAGAAGAGAGGAAGCCCCTGCCTGTCAGCAGCCTGATCACGACAGGAGAGCTTAACTCCACTTTATGTAAACTCCAAGTCAACGCAGCACAAGAAGAGGAGGGCTGGGAACTGCTGCAATAGTTCAATGTGTATCACCACTACAGGGCTAGAAACCCAGGGAAATGCAACAAGCTTCGGTTTTAGTAGAGAGATATGCAGGACACTCGCTCGGTGCACGGGGTACAAAACACCTGCGAGGGCATTACAGGTGCCGAACAGACACAAATCCCGAGTCCAAGCACTAATACGTTCCTCGGCCGGGATTCAAACAGCTCGAGACTGGACTGACCACTACGGCAGTTGTGAGCAGTAGGTAAGCCGAGGCAACAAGGCTTGTGAGAGGTCTGGAAAACGTGCCCTATGAAGAGCAGCTGAGGGAACTGGGTTTGTTCAGTCTGGAGAAGAGGAGGCTGAGAGGAGACCTTATTGCCCTCTACAACTACCTAAAAGGAGGCTGTAGTGAGGCTGGGGCTGGGCTCTTCTCTCTAATTACTAATGACAGGACAAGGGGAAATGGCCTCAAGTTGCGTCAGGGTAAGTTTAGATTGGATATTCGGAGGAAGTTCTTTACGGAACGAGAGGTGAGGCACTGGAACAGGCTGCCCAGGGAGGTGGTGGGGTGACCAACCCTGGAGGTGTTTAAAAAAAGAGTAGATCTAGCACTTGAGGCTGTGGTGTAGTGGTTGGGTGTGCTGGGATGAAGGTTGGACTGGATGATCTTCAGAGGTCCCTTCCAACCCCCAGCATTCTGTGATTCTGTGATTCTCATTTTCCTCATTCACACCTACCTTTTCCAAAGCTTTGGCTATCCGAGTACCAACTTGTTCTAACGACTGTGGCGAGTACTGGTCTTTGCCAAGATTCTGTAGCACCTGTGGGAGAGGAAGAAGAACAAGTCCTTAGACAGCGGAACCTGGTAAGAGATGTCCCTCACCTGCTGAGTGCTTTTTGCCCTAGCCTTTTACAAACGCTGTAACTCCTTGCAACCTAAGGATCACTGGCTATCTTGAGGTAACGCTACCTGTAGCATCACAGTGTTGTAACCCCATGGCACTGGCTACTAAGAAGAGCAGAAGTTCAGCTCTGGCCTACCTCTTTCAGTTGACTTTCTCCAGTGTAATGCAAGCTGGCTCGACTAGAGACACCTTGCAGGTGGTCCAAAGTGTGCATGCTGGCTGGCAGATTTGGGTTACAAAGGGGCTCCACGGCAGGTTCTTGCAGCTGGGTGGCAAAATCAATGTGCTCTGTAATGCTACAAAGGTCATAAGACAAGTTGAATCAGCAAGGAGAAGAAAACAGAAGGGTCACTACCAAGTTCTTGAGTAAAAACTGCTCAGAACTCGGCAGGATTTCATGTAAGTAGTTCAAGAAGCAAGAGCCACCAGAGCTGCTTGCACTTGCACTTTCCTTTGCAAATCTGTTTATGAAATACCACACAGTGTTTTCAAACGTCTTTGAAAGCCTGGCAGTTCTTTCTTGCTTTAAAGAATACCAAAATCTTCAGCTTATGCTCAGTGTCTTGCTTTGTGTAACGGAAGGTTCGTATAGAAGACACTTACTCAATGTTCTTAGCAGAAACAGCAAGCCAGGTGCTGGCTACAGTTGTAAGCTCCACCCTGCGGAGCTTCAGGCATTCATCAGGACTCGGCCAGCCAAGGCTACGATAGTCACGCCTTTTTCCTTGAGAAAGGGAAAAAACAGTATCATAAAAACCAAAGAGAAGAAACTGGAAGCAAAAAGACATTGAGTACAATGATTTACAAAGAAATTTATACCAGGGGATACGTTCCCGAGGTTATAAATGTCACGGTCGTGCAGCCAGACTTCTTGAAGAACATTCCTGAACCTAAATGGACTTGATAGAAGTTGTGGGATCCAAAGACCCCGCAACAAGCCAGATTAGGAGGTGGAGTTTTAAAATCCATTTTGTTACACTTCTTCAACAGCTACACGTTAAGAACAATCACCACTCCTGTTTACAGGTAATGGCTCCAACTTATATGTCCTTAAAAAGAGTTCACAAGTGAGTCATCATTTATGTTCTACGGCTACAGTAAAAACTAATAAGAGTTGATTGCTCCATCTTCCGACAATCCCAGGTGAAAAATACTGCCATTTCTTTCCAGTGAATACTGTTTAAGACAGACACTGGCTTTTACTGCATTCTTAGACTCCAGAAAGCAATATTTCTGAAACTATTAAGCAATTACACTTCAGCCCTCTCATTTTGCAGAGAACAGAGGCAAGGAAAGGTTAAATAACTTGTTTTATGTTAACAAAGAGATCACCTGCAGAAACAAGAACGTGATCTTTGCACCTGAACTGAAGCCTACTGAAATCTTTCCCTTACATTTGGTAGGTACTGCACTAAGTCCTAGGAACCCAGCTTGTGTTCACTGTTAGGAAACATTTTCCTCTCCTATCAGAAACATCCAAACTGTTTGGAACATAAGAAAAATTTGTTGTAACCGTAAATTTACACAGTGGGAAGCCAAGTCAAGCAACGTGCCAGTCCACCGCACTAGCTACGTAGGCAGCGTTTTATTTCTAGTTACCTGAAATTTTGCCCATTTGGACCTGAATTCTCTTTCCCATCCAAGGCAGAGTAAAATGCTTCACCATGATTCGCAAAACAACGGTGAAGTCTGTTATTCCATGTCTGTTGTGAAGTATTCCGATTACTTGAGCAGCAAAAACTCCACCCCACTCTCCAAACCTCCTCCTCAATGCTGGAACAAAACTCTACTCCTCTGTAACTACAGCCTTCTGGCTGACAATCTCTAAGTTTTCTCTTATATCACCAAACCAATGGCAGCAGAACATTTAATTTTATTTTTTTAAGATTTTGTTTATGTTAGACCAAGTCTTTCAGTTCTGTGTCTTACGCCTAGTCACTACTCAACTCAAGCTCTCATCTTGCATTTTTTTTTAGATTTTGTTTATGTTAGACCACGTCTTTCAGTTCTGTGTCTTACGCCCAGTCACTACTCAACTCAAGCTCTCATCTTGCATTTGTCCCTGAAGGGGTATCTCTCAACAGATTAAAACTGAATAAGCACAGAAATTCGTTTAAGAAAAAGATCATTAAACGCCCTCTCTCTTTCACTACTTCTACTCACAATATCCACCTCTTGCATCCTTAGTATTAGCTAGAAAGTTTTCATTCAGCAGACAGAGTTTCACCTGCTGCTTCATGAAGAAGGTGCAGATGGAAGGAATTCCTAATTTTTCCAGGCACTCATCTAGAAGATGTATTTCACTACGTGGTCTTTGTGATGCATACGTATGGTAATCAACCATTGTAATCTGAAAGCTGCGAAGGATTATTTTCCTTGCTTCCTTCCAGAGCAATACAAAAAACTGGAAATGCCTTGCTTTCTCTGGAAACAGCATGTTACCTATTGGTCCAGGAGAAGGTATCTTTGGTCCACTGATTTCCAGGGCAGTTTGGTAAAAGTTGTCATTTTCTCCATTAGCTCCTTCTTCCTCGTTTCTCCCAGTCGGCTCTTGGAGATCCGAGCTTTCAGCTTTTGGTTTCTTTAAACGTTTGACCTGAAAAGTGATCTACCAAAAGAACAGTATTGGCCAGGTTAACAGTAAGAAACATCATGAATGTTATCAGTTCCAATCCACCCCCTGTTTTAACGCAAGGATGCAATTTCAGAGATGTTCCAGATGAGATCTGATGAGCAGATCTCTCTCTTTACCTCCCTGTCTCAGCTCGTTCCCTAAATCCGTTCATTTTCACTGCATCACACCATGCAACGTAAGAGAAAACCAATTTTACTGCAAGAGAACCAAGAGGCATTTTTCATCGTGCATTTTGTTTGTAACAGGATGACGACAGATACTGCATTGTTTTTGTGCTAACTGGAATTTTTGGTTAGAAGCTTTTCTCCTTTGTAACTGTGACCGAGAAGTTTGAAGGCACCCACCACCTAAGCTCTTGCTGCTGGTAATCAAGACTTACGACCATAGAATCATTTAGGTTGGAAAAGACCTTTTAAGATCACCAAATCCAACCTTGATTGATTAACCCAGCACTGCCAGTTCCACCACTGAACCATGTCCCTGAGCACCACATCTACACGGCTTTTAAATCCCTGCAGGGATGGGGACTCTGCCACTGCCCTGGGCAGCCTGTGCCAGGGCTGGACAACCCTTTTGGTGAAGAAATTTCTCCTCACGTCCAATTTAAACCCTCTGGTGTAACTCAAGGCCACTTCCTCTTGTCCTGTCGCTTGTCACGTGGGAAGAGACTGATCTCATCTCGCTACAACCTCCTGTCAGGTAGCTGTGGAGAGCGAGAAGGTCCTTCCCAGCCCCCTTTTCCCCAGACTAAATTGTGTCGTTTTTAGCAGCATGGAGGCCTTTCCTTTACAAGATGGGTCAAAACTTATTTGCTCATTTCACACGAGCCACGATCCAGCTCTTTTAAGCCCCCAGGAGAAGTTCCTATATAATTCCAGTGATAAAGCCTGTGAACTATCCTCCATCTTGCTCTCCTCCATGGCAATAAGTACAAGACTTAAGTAAACTCACGCAAACTTACCCATTCAGCTTCATCATCATCGCCACAGTCCCCAAAGCAGGAGCTAGCCAGTCCATCCTGAGATCCCTTCTTTAGGACCCGGATTCCCTGCAAGTCCATCCGACGACCTTTTACCTCCAGTGCCCCTTCAAAAGCTTCCTGAGGCCACGAGTTTTCAAACTCGTCCACCAAAGCCAGCATCTCTTCGGACATCTGATCATCTTCTAGCTCCTCCATTCCTTCTGAACCATTGCTTTCTGCAGTGACTGCATCTGAAAGGAAAGACCATAAATCCATCAAAAACTCTCTTCCTGCTGCTTCCAGAAATCGTATAAAAAGGAGAGGGGGACTGGAGGACGTAGACTTTCCCACTGCAAAGAAGAACCAACTCCTGCTTCCAAAATCAACGCTTCTGGACCATTTTGACTCATTTCCTTTCCAAACCAGAATTCCCTCTTTGATGGAGTAAACAGGTGGTGTCTTCTCTCTACATATGTGCATTAAACACTGAATAAAACGCTCTGTACCGTAACCCTAGACACTTTTTCTTTCCTTCTGGCACAACTGACACAGGATTCAGTGAGGTAAAACAAACGTGTTTGTAGAGTCTGGCAAGAAACTACACCCCTCAGCTTGGAAATCATCTAAACCTTGATGTCATTTTTTGGTTTAATGCATTTTGACACCAGGCTTGGAGAAGAACAGTGGAACAGAATGAAACGGGTTGTAAGGGTTACTTGTCACTTCACAGACAGAGGGTGGGAAAATGTAGTTTCTTGGAGGAATACAGCTCTTCCCGGAAAAGCTAGGAACTGACTCACTTCCAAGCGCTGATTTTTAAGGCTGACTTACCCTCCAGTCTCAAGAAGGAGGGATCCCTTGCTGAACTCTGTGTAAGGACTTCTGGATCTTCTGTACCTCCCCCAGAGCGTCCTTCTGTCACCGCTCTAACTGACTCGCGGTGGTCACTGAAGTATTTCTCCTTGTCGTGACTGCCATCTGCATTTTTCTCATGACAATGACCTGAAAGAGAGAAGTTTATGGACACAGCACGTAAGACCTGGATACGAGTGTGGAAGCTACAGCCTTCTACCTTCCTACATACGATTTAACAGAATAATCCTACAAGGTGTCAGACGTCACACAATGACTAAAAAGCTGACCTGCCTCTTGGCAAGGCCTAAAGCAGTTACAGAGAAGTTATTAGGTATAAACCATGAACTCCTTATGAAAAAACCTTGGGTAGCTTTGGGGGCAAGGCTGCATAGTTGGTGGGAGATGACTGTGTGGTGGTGGCCACCTCCGTGAGCCTTCCCAAGGTGTATTTTTAGTGACGCTGCACCAGATGTGGGAGCTGTCTGCTGCAAGGATTTCAGTCAGACACTGCAACGCTCGCCGCGCTCACGTGCGAGAGGAAAAGGGCAAGCAGACTGATACGGCATTGCCAGGCTCTGACCTCTCGTGCAAGCAACAGGCAGTTAGGTAAGACATTAAACAGACAGACAAAAGCTATGGGTATTCAACTGTGCCAAAAAAAAATCAGAGGTTTGTTCAGCTGAAAGTTTAACAGCTGGAATTCCATGGTCGGGTTACAGGCTCAGATTCCACCAAACACAAAGATCTAGGAATGATGGAGGAAAAAAATCTAAATGTCGAGCCAGTAATGAACAGGTGAAAAAGGTGCAAACTTCCAACACCAGCCTCGGAGCAGCCTTTCGTGAGACACCGTGAACCTGTCAGAGAGTTTAGAGGATAGCCAGCTGGGATTTCACAACACTATTTTGGATCTCAAATATAAACCCAATACAAACAGAATACAAAAAGAATATTTGTAGGTCTCGCTCTTTTACCACAGCAGCAGGACAAGAGGGTGGCTGCGAGTCCTGCACAAGGGTAACCTGTTCCACCACCTCTCAGCAAAGTGAAACTATAGCTTTTGGCTGCTTCTCCGATTCTGCGAACAGCCGGGGTGGCAGCTTTGGAAGAGAAACAAACCTGTGTCTTCTGGGAGGGGCGAGTCTCACCAAAACTAAACATTCATAAACCCTCTGTGAAAACTGCTTCGTGTGCTACCTTTTCTGAAGTCAAACAATATTATTTTATGAGTAAATATACAAAACAGAAGCGTTTAACTCCACAAACTCTTCAAACATCTGCCCTTTGCCACTCTTGACAGCCATTGAGCCTTTCTTTAATGCCACCTCCCCTTCCCCAGGCTGTCAATAAAAAACTAACTGGTTTCATTAGCGATAATATAAAACAATCACTTCAATATATGGAGACCCTCATGTTTAATTTATGAGAAATGGTGTGTGCACAGAAACCTAAAGCTGAAACCAGTCCCCAAGCCTGACATCGAACCAGCCTGATTCGGATGCGAGTCAGGTGCTTCTCAGTAACGTGGTGACCACGATTCCCTTGGCTGAAGGCCAACTCATCGTTAGCGTAAAGAAAATAAAGTGGCTGCACAAACGGACAACCATTTTTAACCGAAATAAAAACACCCAAAAGAGAAATGGAGTCAGAAATAGCAAGCAGACAGAAAAAACAAACAGGCAAACTCCAAAACATGACGGCAGTTAATTCTACTTAAGAACAACTCTGTTAATATTAATTTGCAAACACTGACAGCTAAAACCAGACTAGATCAGAGTACTGGCTTTCTTGAGCTCTTCTATATATAGAAACCTAAGTGGCCTAATTTTTTCAATTTGTTGTCTGAACTCGCAGGACGTAAAAAAATAAAAAAAAAGCAGTAAGTTGAAAAACCAATGGAATTTCGAGATCTCTGATGCGTGTCCCATGAAGCTGGTTCCACAAGTCAGAACGTGACAGCTTCTGCCAGCCGGATGCCTCGAGCCCCACCGAGTTTGTCCAAAGTACTCGGTATTAAAGGTCTCTATTTCTCATATTGTTCCTGTCTGTAGTTTTTGGGGGCCGACGCGAAGGCACCTGCACAGCATTAGCACAACACACATTTAAAATATAATACAGTGAAGGTTCCCTGAGATCATCTGTCCGGTATTAATCGCCTTCTTGACGTTCAAGACCCTTCTCAAAAGCTTGGAAACAATCATGGAATTCCCTTATTACATACGAACTTTTTTGGTATTTTTTTTGTGTGTCAGTTTTGTTTTTTTTTGTTTCAAAGCAAACTTCTGCCAATTTAAGTGTAAGCAGACGCTCAGACTGAAAGCCACTTACCCACGTTTTGTGTCTCGTGCTGTACCCGGCCAAGAGAATGAAGCCTCACTAAATATTTTCACTGCTCGATTCCTACACACCAGCTTAAGAGAGATGATCTGGTGTCACCAACAGCATCGCAAATAAAGTTATCACCAGGGGTCTCTGGTCAACACAGAGTTTCTACTGACTTTTTATTCTTTGTTTCTCAGTGAGGAGTTTGCAAAATACGACCTTCCTAGCTCCACCTTCTATGTTCCAACATACCAGGTTTAAGAAATTTTTTTTTACATCAGGCATGATGTATCACTGAGCTTCACAGAACTAAGTTTTCATCCCTGTACGCAGATGAACAGTCTCATCTCCCGACGTTTCAGGTGCAGTGCGTACAGGAGCAGCCTTCTCTTTAACTTTTGCTAGTCACTGCCAAGCTAGCACGTGAAGAACTGTCTTACTTTCTGGGGAAAAAAATAATAATCCATGCCAGTTATTTTTAAATTAGTTTTAAAAGCAACAGAATGAGCAGTAACTAGAGAAGAGACCTAAAGCGTCTATCGCTGCTCTGCTCACCTTAATCATAAATGAATATGGCTCTGTCAACATTTTACTCTTAAATTGATGCATTCCCTTTTCTGTTTTCCTTCGTTTACACTTCAAAACGAATCCCACGATCGAGCTTTGCAAGTGGAAACTGCAAACCACTTAGGACCGAATCGGATTGCCATCAACAACGTTCCAAAAAGGTCACAAGCCGCTGAACTGCGAAAGTCAGCGCTGTGCTCCAGAAACAGCACCCAAGAAAATCTGGTGCTTTCCACACGCACGTGCATAAAAATAAAAACAAATAATAAAAACAAACAAAAAAATTGGACTAAGCTTTTGGCATGTTTTCTCCTCACAGAGAAACACTGTTCGGTTTTAGTTTTAGTTTTCCTTTAATATTAATCCCCCTTCGCAAAACTGGAAATTACAGGACAAAAACAAAAATGTCAAGGGACAGGATATATTGCTAACTGAAAAATAAAAGCTAAGTATAGAGAACCTATGGTGAAAAGCAATATCAAGCACTTTAAAAGTCGACCTTCATCAATTCCTACCTCTTCTCTAAATTCCTCCCTTAGATGAACATCAGTGGCCCTTCTTCCAAGATGAGAGGCACGCTCAGAAACGAGTAGCCAGAAGAGCGCGCCCCATACCAAGCCTTAACTTGATGACTTATGTGGTCAAAATTTAGGCTCGAGTACACACAGTGAAGCATACAAAGGCTCTCGATTTTCTTTATTATTTATTCCAACAACAGGTTTTCAATTAAGAGGATTATATAGTAAAACAACTGCTCTCACTTGTAGGGAAATAGTTTTAAAATCAGATTTGTGGCCAAAAGATGCCTCTAAATTGGCTTAGCTACAGATTTAAAGATTATCTTTTTGTCTCATTTCAGTGGTTCTGATTAAACCTTTCGAAACACACAAACACCAACAACACGTAACCAGATTTCTCGTTCATATTAAGCGAGAGAAACACCTCACCACCGCGTAAGAGACGTGTCCCTGAAGAACTGCCACACAAATCCTCCTTATGAGAAAGAAGGGACATATAAAACACAGAAAAAAAATTCAAAGCGGAAGACAAACCTGTTGGAATTGGAACACAACGTAGTTTAATAAGGGACGTGCTTGAAGAATTCAGTGAGCTACTTAAAAACAGAATAGAAAAGATCAACCTTCCCCCTCGCCCCAACACCTCTCCCATAGTTAAAAACAGGAAGGGGAAAATCAGAGAGGTTGGCTACCTAAAGCCTGCACTCCCCTCCTTCCTCACCACCCACTAAACCAGGAACTTGGGTTTCTTTCTGATGCAAATCCAGAAGCAATAACTTGCTCTATGATGCAGGGAAATAGGACCTAAACCACACAAACACCTGCACATCTAAATGTAAACTCTCCAGTCCTGTAAGTGGCTAAGACAGACTGGAAAAATGCCTCTTTCAGGAGCCCCCGGTCCTACATACAGAGTGGGAAGGTGAGTAGCACTCCTGCCTGAACTTCATCCTGTGCCCCAAGAACAGCTTGATTTCTCTGGTTTGGGGCAAGAGAAGCAAGCACATGTAAGGCTTGTCCTCCTGTGTGCCAGACGTTTATTTTTTTTACTCTCAGATAAGAAAATAGTTACTTATTAATTATTTAACAACAAACGGTGGCCTACAGCAGATCGCAGTACAATCTACCCTACGAATTTTGAACTACTAATCTTCAGTTCCTGGTGCACAACACACATCTGAAACCTGTTTCTGATTAAGCCCTTAAAATCCTTAGTTTAAGGGTCGGCAGCATAAGCAAAGGCAACGCAGCCTGCATTTGTTCGGGTCTCTTTCTGTCCTTTCCTCTGCCACAAGTCACATACCTCTGCTTACGCTAAACATTAAGTATTTTGGTAAACGCTGTTAGATCCTACCGTACCTACAAACTCAAATTTAGAAATGGGATCAGGTAGTTGAACTCTACGACCATTAACTAACCCCGTCATGAGTTACTGTTACCTTTCCACTTCTCCCAACATATAACATCGACACAAGAAAGTCAATGGCATTATGTGACCATCTTTTGACTATCACGCTGTCTGTACGGCCTCCACCACACACTGGAATTTCAAGAGCATTCCACATTTTACACAATTCCACGAAGAAGCAGAGTTGCTGTAAATAAGATTAACAAAAAAATAAATGATAATCGATCCCAGTTTTGAGGGAGAGATGAGCAAGACTTAAGTCTTCTCTTGACTCCAGGTAAGGAATACCTGCAGAAGGTTAGATTTGAGGAGAACACTGCCAATACTAGTTT